TTGTTAGAGCGGCGGATCAAAGGATGTTTCTTGATAGTCTTATGGAAATCTAAAATGCGCATCCGCGATTCTTCCGTAAATAGAACAAAACAAAACATACAAATATAAATTTGGATGTTGTTTTAACATTTTTGCATTGAAAATTGCATTGAATTATTATTAAAAATAAAATCAATTGATTTGCTTGTACATAAATTTTGTTTTATTAAACAAAGTATTCGACTATATCTAAAATAGGGAGTAACGACACACGAAAAAATTTACACAATGTAAAAAACATATAGAAACATCTATGAATTAGTTGAACTTATAAATCTACCAATTATATTTAACAAATCCGAAGTAAATTTTAATTGAAGTAATAAATTTTAATTTTTTATTAAATTATTTTTTACTTTTAATTTTATTTTTAATATATTGATTCTAACAAACGAGCTGTTATTTCAATCTGTATGATTCGATAAAATTATATTAAAGACTAAAAAAGATATAAAAACATCCATGTTTTAGCTGAATTATAAATCTACCAATTATTCAAAAAAATAGAATTAAAGTATTAAGTTTTTATCGAAGTAATAAATTTTAATTCAGTTTTTTTATTAAAAAATGTTTGTATTAAAATGTTTTTCTACATTTTATTTTATGTCTAACATAACAAATGATACGTTGTTGAACATGATTCAATAGATTCGAACGATCTGTGTTTGATTTGCACACTTTGTGGATCACCCTGCATTTTTTTCTTCTTTCAGAGACATCCCGAAGGAGTAGCGCAAGTTACATTCCGAGAACCGGCAGAGGCGCAAGCTTGTGTGCAACTTCTAAACGGCCGTTGGTTCAGTCAGAGAAAGATTTCGGCGGAGATTTGGGACGGCAAGACCAAGTACAAGTAAGTTACTTCATTGCTGGTTCCTACTATACCGATGTTAGAATCTGTACTATCGATAGTTGCTGATGTAGGCTCCGAACTTGAACGTATATATACTATATGTATAATATTATCTTTACAAATATCTATATATATTATATATATGTATATATATATATATATTAATTTATTTTCTGTTGGCTTGAATTCGCACCTAAAATTTCATTATACTACTAAACTTCTCTTTTGCGTTGTATTTAATAATATTGCTAATTTTCCTACAAACTTTGATTCTAAATGTGTTAAAATTTTTTTATATTGGCCATGAAAAACTTTCTATTTTCATCTGGAAAATCTGAAAAAGTTGGGGAATTTTTAAATTTTCTGTGCAATCCTGATACTGTAATTGTAGATATTGACTGCAGACTTGTTAACGTATAATTTATTTACATTATTTGAAGTGAAAGAGACATAGCAGTCAATGTATTGAATGTGTCCTTCAGAATTACAGAGACTGATGCAGAGATCGAAGCGCGAATAGAAAAATGGGATAAATATTTGGAGCAAGAAGATGAAGAAAAGGAAAAGAAGAAGCAAGAGATAACGAGCAGCAATGAGAAACAAAAAACGTCACAGTGAGAGTGCATCGTATCAATTATGATCGATAGAATTGTATTTTATAGATTCTATTTTCTTTATTTCTCCAAAAGTCCTCACTGTCGTATTGCATTTGAATGTTAAGCTCAAAGCTTTTGTTTTGGGCGTTTTGAGAATCTGGATGATTAATTGATCCCGTCACGATGTGATTGAGATTATAAGTGGCTCACTATTTTCATGGTTAAATCGGCGCTACTATTGTGCTAGTGATATATTGTTAGTTGTTGTAACAATAAAGCTGTCTCTCCTAGTTGTCTTCTCTCATTGTATCTCTGTCTCCACTTGCACTTTCTGATATCACTGATTTATTGCTTTATTAGTTTTTAATTCTAAACCATCTTGTATAACCAGGACAGTCATATATGAAATCATATATTTATAAAAAAAAAGAATTAATGTGTAAAAAATAAATAAATAATAAAATTAATAAGAATATAGAGCTACGAATCAAGAGCAAAGTTTTGATGCTATATTATTAAATAACAAACAGAAAGTTTATTCCATCATACGTTTCGACCCCAATCGGGTCATTCTCAATGTTAAACAATATAACAAATTTTAAAATTTAAATGGTATTAACTAATATCATCGTTTTGATTATAACATTAAGAACAATAAATTCCAAAGAAATATATTATCAAATCGCTATTGTAGTCGTCAATGGATTAAAGTAAAGTCAAACGGAAGTAGCCAAAAGCATAGCTTTTTGTAACGGAGTTTTTTGTAACATAAATACATCCAATAATTAAAAAGACTATAAGTTCGGTTTAGAAAAATATAATAGTGAAATGTAGTAAAAATTATTGTACAAACAATTATATATTAATAAAAAACATTGCCAAAAATAAACAATTATATTAAAATTAAAATCTGCATATTCTAATGAAACAATCGTAAAAATAAAAATCTGATGAATTAGTTATATTCCATTGCAAAATTTCTTTAAATCAAATTTTTCTTTATATCAAATTATTCGAAAACGGCATCTCGGGTTATCTTGCTAGGAATTCAGTTTTTTAAATAAGAGAAATTTACTTTGAGAGTTATACATCGAAAATGACTGTTCTGACAAGAGAGAGTAAGACACTAGGTAGGAAAAGTATGAAAAAAAGGGAGTATACTATAAAAGGAAGAGGACAACAAATATAGTATAGGAAGATATATTCGGATAAAGACTCCGTATGAATTTATTTATTTAAACCATGAGATTGTTTTTTTATACCATTTCTAATATTAATCTTTTATTATATAAGATGATTTTGCTTCTTGATCCAAAATTTTTATGCTCCCAATTAAAATTATGATTACAGTTAATACGATAGTCCAAAATAACTAATCGAGATTCCATTTTACATTAATATTAGAAGTTTTTTTTATTAATCAGAAGAATGCTCATGAACTCTCGTTTGTAAATATCTCTTTGTTTGACTTTTATTTTGTGTGCGTGTGCGTGGATTTATTATTATTTTTTAATATCCTGGAAAAATTATATGAAGAAAGAATAAGAGTAAAAACAAAACGTGGGAACGAGAAAGAGAAAGAGAAATGAATTCTCTTGGAATTTCCTAATTTGCTATTTCGACATTCTTGGCAATCCTCTTTTGTGAGACTACTGTACCAGCAAGAGATCATCGCTGTCCATCTATCAAAAAACGCGGTTCGCAACATCTCTGGACCGCGGCTTTTTTTTCTTTGCTCCGACGAATCTCTCGTCAAAGTAATCACCTGATCCGCAATATAAACGCTACTTTATACCGAAGATGCTTTGAACTGAGTCGATTTGAAGGCCAGAGTTAATGATCGCTCTTCTTTGCGAAGTTGTTTTCTTGAGATTTAAAATCCGCAAGTTTTTCTTGAAAGAATTCTTATGGGATACTACAAAATTATTCTGAAACAAATTTTGCAAAAGAAGATTCTCTTATAGTTTATCTTTATTTTTTAAAATGTGAAATGTTCAGATTTTTAAAATTCTTATATATTTATTTTTGTAAATGATAGCTATGCTAAAATATTTTCTATATACAATACTTTCCCAAATCCTTATATTTTTCTATAATTAAAAAACATCAGGAGACGTGGTCTCTCTCTCTCTCTCTCTCTCTCTCTCTCTCTCTCTCTCTCTCTCTCTTTCTCCGGCCTCTGTATTACCAGCACCTTGAGTTGGAATACACATCAGGAATATCTCTAATCATGTAAACGGCATTTTGTAAAAATTAAAATATCATAAAAATTATCTTTTAATTCGCTTGCGTATCTAAATAGTAACTTCACTGATTTTTCTCGGCTTCAATTACTGCGCTGTCCTCACTGATTTAACTGGTCGGCAAAAAACAAAACTAAAAAGATTAATGAACTGCGTGCGTTTTATCTTAAATCTGCGCAGGGATGTGAACATGTCTCTAAGCATTACTGTTCCTTAGCTTCTATCATCCTGGCTATTCGCAGATGATAGAAGAGTTTATCTCACCTGTTGTTTCCTCTTTTCTATCCAATCGGGAGCTTCTCCTTACCTTTTCTGTAACTTCCGCTCACACATTCTTTCTCATGGTTCTCAACTGCGTGGGTGGTTCCTCTTCCGTCCTTGCTGTTCCCTCTTGTAGATCTATCACTAATCAATGTTTCAATTCTTTCTAAGTTCGGCCTCCTCTCTCTGGAACTGGCTCCCTGCTCGCATTAGAAATTCTGAATCATTTAATACATTTAAGCACGCGCTCTTCTGTTATTTGCGATAGCAAGGACTGAGATAGCTAGTTTGCACCTATTATTTCATTTTTCTTTAATTTTTCTTTATTTTTTTGTAATTATCTTATTATTATGCTTCAATTTGTGTTAATTTGTGATATTTCTTCCTTCTTTATTCTTTTCTTTATACTTCTCCTTTCTTTGACAATTCTCACTTAAAGTGATGAGGAAGACAGGACACGGTAAAATATTAGTCAGACTTCAATCTCCTTCTGTCGCTAATAATTTAGCGACAGAATTATTAATCATACACTAGATATCAACGATCTTAGGGCTTTCATTCCTCAGTACCGTGTGCTTAGATCAGGCATTATCAAAGATGTCCTCCAAGAAATTGATATTAACACTATTAAGCAATATTTTCTCTCCCTATAAAATTGTTGATATTGTAAGAAATTTAGTAAAGGCAGGAATAAGCGTTCGCATATTGTAGCATTCTTGTGTGCAATCAGTAAGTGCGCGCATTAGAAGGCGAGTTACAGCGTCCCATATCGTGCAATTAAATCGGTTGCCGGAGCAAGCAACAGTAATGAGCACGCGATCGAAATAGTTAAATTATTTGTATCGCGACAGCATCGATTTTTTTCAGACTTAGTTTTAACTACGATTAGTAAGGGACTTACATAATCTCAGGAATAGTGATCGGGCGTTTTCCAGTTTTGTGCGATAAGCTCGTTCCTCGTGAAGTATCGTGTTTTAATACATTGTAATTTGTAATGAACAAATAAGTAAAATAAACTGTGTTTGAATTTAAGAGAGGAAATCAAGTTTATTAAATAACGTTATCCTATTACATTTTGGAAATATATTCATTTGCTTTTCTAACGCACTTTTATTGTGAGAAATCTCTATACAAATCTTACAATATAGTTAGACTCAACAAACACTTTAAAGCTGTATTATAGTATATTTTTTATGTTTATAAATCACTCATATTGTATTTAGCTTATATAATACAATGTAATGTGTATCACTGTCCTATGTCCGTTTGCATTTGTAGTATGCATAAAATAAATATGTGTAGGTAATAAAAAAATTATGTTGTCTTAGAATTTACGGAGTTTGCACTTAATAAAAAATAATATAATAAAATTTAAAAAAGTATTGCGTGAAAGATATCATATAATAAAATAAAAAGAATCGCTTTTTGTGTTTTATACATTCTGTTATTACATACATAATATGAGATGTGATTATTTTTCGCGGTCAATCAAAATTTTTTTTTTTTTTTTTAAATCGTCATATACGTACCATTAGATTCCTATAAATATCGTTGCTATATAGCGTCTTTGATTTAATTTTTCTTTACAGTAAATTATTTTTCGTTACCGTAAATGTAATTAATTATTCCGTACATCGTATAATTTTCTTCTTAATTGATCGCCATTATTCCACTCTCTTCTACCGGTCGAAGTTAGATTTTAAGTGATTTAAATAATTTCATATGAATTTATATACCACGGTTGTAATCTGTCGAATTGCGCGCCGAAATGATTTTTTGGACTTACAAGTACTAAGCAATTTAATTTGTGAAATCAAAATGATATGAAAATAACCAAATAAATTAATAGCATGAAAAAGAAGTGAGGTCAAAATAGTATCTATTAATATTTTAGAAATATATTGCTGTGTCCTCGGAGCTTCGCTACTTTTAGTTCTCCCAATGTGGGAACAGCTGATTATATAAGTGAGGAAAATACGAATAAACAATTGAGTTTTGCTCGAGTTGTCATTAATTAATACAATTGCTATTTAGAAAAGCAATTTAATTTGTGATATTACTATGGCAGTTCAGTTATTGCACTTGTAGAGTATAGGAAACATTAAAAATTGTTCGTTCGCGCGAACTAATAAAATCCATCCAAGCGGCGATCACTCATATCGGAACTTGTAAGCCAACTCACACGTGCCTCGTGAAAATGTTCACTCGCACTCGCACTGAAGAATAACTGCTCATGTAGAAAAGACATAACGATAACTTTATTGTGCGGGAAAATACAATAAATACGGAACCTTAGTGGAAACATCCAAACATAATGACAACTCGAGTGAAACTCAATTATTTATTCTCCCACACTAGGAGAACCAAAAGTAGCGGAGCTCCTAGGACACAGCAATATATTTCTTATATGTATATAGATTATTTTGGCCTTACTTCTTTTTCCTGCTATTATTTTATTTATTTTCATATCATTTTTATTTCACTTTTATGCTATTATATTTGATATTTTTTCATTATATTTTTAAATTAATTTATAAAACAGTTTTGCGAAAATTTGTGAGTTTTTTCGTTATGTTTTTAAGTATATTTCTAAAATGATTTTGCGTAAGATTGCAAAATATACTTGACGCCTCTTTTTTATATTTTTAATGCCTTTTCTGGTGAATTATATTTTTCTGTTATCATTTTTTATTATCGCCAAGTAGTTGGATCATCGCCAATTTTGCTGGTGTGTATGTGGTGAAAAAGAACATCTCAAAGCGAGGGTTTATTCGAACAGTGTCTTCACATCTCCCTTTTCATTGTTCGACATTTATTCGAGCCGTATCCCTCGCAACGTTACGAGGGGATGAAAGCACGAACGGCGGCATATTTTAGTTGTCTCGCTCCATTCATGATCTGGAAAGGGCAAGGACAAGAGCGATTCCCCCTGGCAATATTACTGACAAATTTAATGCCCAGCTATTAGATAGCGGGGGCTGCACCTCGCCCGCTTTCCCCTGTATCTGTCTATTGTTGCAGTAGCCACGTGCAGAATGACTGCACGTTCCTGATGCTCAGACGAAAATGTTTAATCGTCATGTTCAAAGATCCCTTGTGAAAAAACCCGACATTCTTGTCACGCTTGTCGAGACTTATTGGGTTTGCCTATCGTTCGGACCTGCTAAGTAACACGCGAAATTCGATATCGTTTGATGACGTTAAACGCGATTTGATACGGTCAAGTGTTTGCCGAGATCTTTCGGCCATAATAATTACCAGTTTACTTTGTAAATAGTTGGAATTAAGAAAAGTATCAGAATTGAAGAAACATTACCGAAATTCGTTCCGTCGAATTAGATCTTATTTATTTTTTAATTAAAAAATGCTCTTCAAATATTTGAAAAATGAACACAATACGCATATAAGTATAAAAACAAAATTTTATTTATTTAAATAAAACATTAAATATATAT